CTTAAAACGTATTCTATATAACAGCATAACGAGTTGATTAAATTGATTACATTATTGCGAGCATTTGAGGAGCAGGCAGTTAAGGAAAAAGAAAATACAAAAAATAAAATAAAAAGTAAAACAGTATAGTGATGATAATGTATGCCATGGGTTCTGTGTGTGTGTGTTTGTGTGTATGTGTGTGTGTGTGTGTGTGTGTGTATGCATGTGTATGTATAAGTTTGTAGGGTTTAGGATATTAAAGCTTCAGTGGCACTGTAATATAATTCATTAAGGTACGAAATTACCTTTTGCTTTTTAGCAAAAGACGTCCTACATGTTTTGACAGGACATGCTGGTTTTTGACGTTCCTTGGCGTGAAATAACTATTTGGAGGTACAGTAGAGTGTAGATGCAGAATTGAGCGAAGGATGTAAAGTTACCTAACTGTAGGTACATTACAATCCTTATAAAGTTGTGCGGTCGGGTATCTCCAAGGCCGCCTATGCATAACCTTTAACACAGCTCTCTGATGGTAAGTGATTGCAGATACGTTGTCACCCCTGAGGAATAAGGTGGAATGCCTCGTTTCCAGTAAAAAGTCTCCGGTTCCCTTCAATCATCATACGAAATAAATGCTCACCAAACGATTTCCCGGTGGATTCCCGACCCATTCATGCTACAACCATAAACCACAGCTGCAGCATTTTTTTATATAGGATAGGGTTACAAACGAGCACACAGTCCACCTGATGGTAAGTGGTTGCTGTGGCCCGTAGACATCTACATCTATCCTCGATTACGAATCAAAATGCAGATGCGTTGTCACCGGTGAGGACTAAGATGGAATGCTTCGTTTCCAGTAAAAAGGGTCTCCGGTTCTCTACACTCACCATACGAAACACAGCAGCATTAAGCTACTATTTGACGCTGGTATTCTGTGAGAGCGTGGTCCTTCCCCGGTCGAACCAACCCATTCGTGCTGCAACTATATCATTAATATACCTGCAGCATGGTTTTACCACTCAAACCTACTATATAATATTAGTTTTGGAAGGTATAAGAGGTCGTCAACCTATCGTCTACTATACAAAACTGCCTTTATACTGACAATAATACTTAAATATCAAAGCAAAAATGGAAGAAAAAAAAATCAAACGAGTCGACAAAAAATTCGAAAGATTTAAATAAAACATTAAAAATTGTTAAAAAGTTTTTATTTACAACAATAATATTAAGTATACATACTTCATTCAACTAAAATATTAATGGCACTATTAAAACTAGAGCATCTTTTTAATTAATATAATATGATGAATAAAATAAAACAAAATGACAGAGCAAAATAAAATTGTAGAAATATATTTTAAAAATATGTAATAATTTTTCATATTTGTAAGTTATTAAAATGGGCCAATTTTCTAAAATATCACTTTATTTAAAACAAACCCTTAACAATAATGAGGTATCTTTATATTACACTACACATCATGGTCATTGGACTGTCTTGTTGATTTAGTGGTGATAAATGACTGATGAACTCACACTCTACATCATCATCACTATAGTCCTTCACAAATCCACTGCAACATAGGCCTCCCCTAAGGGATCCGCTAAACATACATACATACATACATACATATCAATTCTTGTAAATTAAGGCGCTACTCGTAGGCTAGGAGTCCTAGCGAACGACCTTGAGTGTTCAGTCCCATACACTCCACGCGCTCTCGCTACAATAAATCGCGTAAGAAATTCGCCCAAATTTTAAAATATTTTTTTATAAAATCGTATTTTGGTCCTTTGAAGAAAATAAATAGATCAAAATGTTCATTAACAAATTGCCTATTTATTAGTGTCACTCGCAAAATAAAATAATTCTTACTTTATGAATAATTATTTTCAATAATTATTTCGCATTTCTGTGGTTTACTTGTAGGAAGGTTCATCAAGTATTTACTCCTTTAAAAAATTGAAATGACTATTATGGAATCAAGATTAGGTACAAATTTAAAAAAATATTAATTGATATATCTTTTTAATAACAAGCAGATAGCTTCTAAAAACCTCACTAATAAAGACTTGTGCGGCATTTTGTTCAAACACGCACCTTAACACTTTTTACTAGTAACTAGCTGTCCTCCCCGTCTTAAGATTTTCAAATGCCACATATTTTAACAATATTGGTTTTTCAAAAAAAAAAAGTCGATAAGTTTTCCTATAGCAAAATATACAAGGTGTAAGTGTAAACACCGTTGTCACTAAAACCATAGGTAGTTGGCTTTAATATAAAAATATTTATCCGAATTTAAAAAAAAATGCTATTTTCTTACATAAAATTTAAAAAGTTTCTGTCCGACACCATCCGTATATTCATGGTTACCCTATGCGCCCGAGTGACGTAATCACTGTAAAGATCACCGCCCGCACTAGCTACCTACACAACATTCCAATAAAAACACAATAGGTACACATAACCTGTGATGTAACTTTTCCTTCATAGTTGCATCCTGGCTTAAGACAGGCAAAAATTGAGGAATTAAGGATAAATTGAGATTTTACTAAAAAAATGCTGTTATTTATCACTGAATTTACGTTCTATAAGTTAAACCAAACTACTGGCTTCAAGGATAACAGTGTTTACACTAATACCCTGTATAAGTTAGAATATTACACATAGATAATTTTTTTATATACTGGTGATATTTTTTACCGTGAAAAAAATTGGGTATGACATGTGAACAGAGTAGAAGCCTATGGCGCTGATATTTTACAAAAAAAAAAATAAAAATATTTGAATTAAATAAATTAATTAATTAAAATCTCTCGTATTTCAAATCATATCTACCCTACTTTACGAACGGCAATAAAACAATAAATTTAGTTGGCATCTTTGACTTTGTCACTTCGCAGGGTCACAGGTGCAAAGTAATTGTTTAAAAAAATCAAATTTTCAATTCAAAATATTTGTTTTCATATATTGTAAAATATCTATGCCATAGGCTTCTACTCCGTTCACGCGTTAGACCCTATTTTTCCAGACGGTAAAATATTTCATCCAGTATATAAATTTGTATAATGATTTAGTAGCAACATCATGTACTTAATAATAGTAAGAAGTGATGACTTCGATTTAGCACGATTCTTGATTCACGATTCTGAAGCAGCAGACATTTGTGCTTGTTCTAAACTAACGGGTTATTAATTCTTAGTTAATTTAAATAACGGAAATACTACTGACTTACTCATCACGAGATCTCAATAACAAATAACCGATTGACTTAAATTTGGCATACTCCTGTCTCGACATAGACAGACACCCACACAGTCATAGAAAGGTTTTTGGAAAATTCCACTCTTGAGGGGGTGGAATATTATACACCTTGTTTTTATATAATAGCAACTGAATTGCAAGTCATGAAAGGGCTTAGTCAATAATCGTTATTTACAGGGTTATTTTTAAAAAAGTAGCCAAATGTTAAACTTAAATTTATGAAAATACGAGTAAATAAGGCTTCTAATTTTATTTGCAACTGTCCCAAATTGAATGTTATTTATTGGCAACAATGTTTTTGCCTACCCATCGACCCTTACGAATGTTTTTTAAACCCCGCATTTTGAATTTTAAAGATAAAAGGACAGAATGTTTGAGATTTTTTTTAATAAATTTTTCTTTACCATTTGTCTATATTATTTATTCTGAACCTTATCTGCAAATTTGGTCGGGTTTTGCAAAATAAGCCTGTATAAACTGTGTTTAAAAAATATTTAAAATACATTTTAAACACAAAGTTCAGCTATAATTTTTGGCGGTTATTTTAAAACTGCGATGCTAGATGTATGAAATTTAAATTTATGATTTTAGAAATTAAAGTGAAATATAACGAATTCAATTGTCACCGTGGGCGTAGTCAACATTTCTTTTATATGGTTGAAGTTGAAGGCACAAATTATTTCCGGGAAAGACATTAGATTTTGTAGAAGTAGGCGTGCCCTCGCTTCCTTCCTCGCTGCGCCAAGGATTGTTATAGAGCAAAATTTTCACAAAATAGTTTTATCGCTTAAAGTTTTTCTACGCATATTTAAAAAAAAACAAAGACTAGTTAATTGAGCATATTTTGTAAACCAATTAAGTATTTCTAAAATTTCTTTCACAAATTTAATTCAATCTTAGTAAAATATAATCACACAGTTCCTAAAATTACCTCTAGACATTTTGCTAATATTATCGATTAGTATCGTAACAATACGCAATACAGTCAAATGGCGTGTTTTAGATTAGGCAACAAAATAGACAACACAAGTCAATTTTTTTTTTGATAAAGAATTTCGCAGGCCACGAGGTGGTAAATAATTCCTGCAGTCCACTGGTGAATGTAACTGACGAGGACTAGAGCTTGAGATGGTTCTAAGCTTTTCAAATTGGAATATAGCAGTGATTGCACTGTACAGAGTGAGGTAAGGTCCAAGCCTGGTGGACTCCTAGGAAGAAATGGAGCTGCGACATCAAATAAGACACATGGGAAGTTATAATTAAAACAAATGTCGGAGATAGTATGTAGAAAATAAAAAGAGATAAATAAAAAAGAGGGTAGAACTGGAAAATCCCACACGTTTGAACAGTATTAAGTTTGACGCAGGATAAGTAATGGCTAATTCATCTAAATCACACAATCTGTTTTTTTTTTTTGTTGGGACTTTTGAAATCTTGTTCGTGATGTGCAGTATTGCTGTTGGATTGAATACTTAATTTATTTTCGTTCCATCGTGTTTAAAGTTTTTAGGATCGATAACGTTACAAAAATTGTGTGGTTGAATTGTAATTGCAAAACATGAACTTATATTACAATACGCTGTTTTATTGCTGTTAATGATTAATTGTGTAAGCAAGAGAGTAAGTTGAACATCCGCTCTCAAACTACATTATTTTTAGTAGTCTTTAGGCGTGTTCCGAACACAAAGTCGCTAATGTAAAAGTGTGTCCGTAACCAACGCCTCAAATTGTTGGGTGCGTATCGGAATCAGAATTCGTCAGCTCCGTCTTGCCGTCCGGTTTCTAGGTAAGTCCTGGAGTTTTTAGCGGTGAAGAAGAAGGGAGCTTCGGGAGTCGGGCAGCGGAAGGACTTCAGCAGCACGGGGGGCACGTTGTCCGACTTGTTGCCCACCGGCTCCAGGAGGTTGTTCCACAGGAGGTTCGCAGCTGGAAATATAATACATCACTTATTAGAGTTCTTTAAGAAAATGCCCCGATGTTGTATTATTGAATATGCCTAAAACAAACAAGAACAAAGAACAAAAAACTGTGGTAGGAAGTAATCTCAGCATTAAGGATACTCGGGGCTGCTGCAATACCATGAATATTTAGTTAGTCTACTCGTAATTAAATGAAGAGGTATGCGGGCCACGTCACCAACCCAGATGCTGCACATGTTACTGCTTTATAACTTAATTCCGATTGTATCTCATCAGGCTCGGGATGAATCGGGACGAAGCTATCGATAATCCAGGTAGATTTCACAATACAGTTGTATATCCAACAGAGGACTGTTAAAGGCTGATGATAAAAAGATTCACTGAATCGACCCAAACGGTTTGATTCATCGTACGCTTATGCGGACGGAAAAAGAGTGGAATAAGTTGCTATTTGTCTTTCGACTCGATTACAATATGGGTGTTCTGAAACCAAGGGTGAATGGTCTTTTGTTTAGTCAGTGTGCTTTATCCTCAGTGGCTATATCATCACTTACCATCAGGTGGGACAGGGGTCAAGCGCTGGATTAGGATAGTAAAAAAACATACGAAAAGATGTAGGTGGGTAGGTCTATGAGTTCCCATCTCTCCCCCACCAAACGTGTTTCCGCCTTGTCGAGGTGGGAGGGATTCGTAGCTGTGGCTTGGTCTTCCGTGGTGAACAAAGAGGAACCTATATTGGAGGTGATCTCTACAAGTGGGTTTAGCGAGCTCACTTGAATGTGTGTTAGCGGGCTGCGGCGAGAAATGTGCCCTCTTTTCTACCGTTGTAGACCAGGTGGAGTCGCGGAGGAAGAGGGGTGTTGGTATGACGATGCGCCACTCACTCTACCCTCCGCGACTATGGCGAGGCCGCACCGCTGCTGCGGTGGAAGTGGGGCTGCGGAGGAGTGGAGTGTCGGTTGCGAGGCATCGCTCGTCCTAACCTCTGCAGCCGAATCTTGGTTGGCGGCGGAGCCATAGACCAGATCAGCCGCTGGGGTCAGGCTGGCTAGTGCTTTTGAGTGCTTGTTTTTCCTGGCCCCATGGCTTTTGCGCATCAGACACAGGGACATCTGTTTTGTAGGTAAACTTAATGGCTGCGGAAGTAGGTGCGCCATGTGTTTTGGTGCGCCTTACCTGAAAAGGAGATGGGGAGGAGTAGTTCTCCTCCAAAGAGGGGTTGCGACGAAGATGGAACACTATTTAGTCGATGAAGTCCGACATAACCCGTGCTCAACCCCGCAAGACGGGTATTCTTAGGCATTTCCCCATGTAAAAAAAATTATCCAAGGGTTACGGCATCCACGTGCAATGAAAGAATTTGTGCTGGTATATTACTAAAGCTGTGATGTATGAGAAGTGAAGTAAATAAAAAAGTATAGGGATAGATGAGTCATGTTCATCCTTGATTAAGAATCAAATCTGCGTTGTCACCTCTGAGGAGTAAGATGGAATACCTCGTTTCAAGTAAAAAGGCTCCACGATACTCTACACTTACTGTACGAACCGCAGCAGCATTAAGCAGCTTTGTTTCGTCCGAGTATGTTGCTAGTCGAGCCGAGCTTTTCCTGCTGCAACAATAATATAGCTGCTGTGTACGTTTATTACGTACGTACGTTTATCACTAAAGCTTTGATGTGAGAAAAGTAGGATAAGTAAAAAAATACAGGGATGGATGTGGGTAGGTCTATGAGTCACGGCATCTGCGTGCGGTCAGCGAGTGTGTTTTTTTGTATGAGATCTGTGATCTGAGACAGAGACAGAAATAGCGTGTGGGCTCACCGAGCGCGTGGCCCTTCTGCGAGAAGTGGAAGCAGTCGTGCGTGATGTAGGAGCGGTGGATAACGAGTGGCAGCGGGCCGCGCGGCGCGGGCGGCGCGTTGAACAGCCGCATGAACGGCTGCACCACCACCGTAAAGTCACCGCGCCGCTCGTAGCGCCCGCTCTCCACCTGCACGCACACACGTGCGACACACTTGTATATGTTTTCTTTAATTTATTGTTGCATTGGATACTAGTCCTTTGGCTAAGAAATAAATTGACATACTCGTATTATATACATATATTTTATTATTGTTGCATTGGATACTAATCAAGAAATGAAATAATGTATATTATTAAGGACATGGCGTTACTTAGATTTTTAATGATCAAAGACCATTTAGTTTAGTAATATTTGAATTATTTCTCAATAAAAATCTCGAAGGTTTTCAAATAACATATAGCGTAGATTACTCCTGGCATTGGTCTCTGTCTGTTTGTTGCAGTTTTTTCTTTCTTTTTTCTTTCTTTTTTTTAAACCAGTATCGTGGGGGCAGTTTAAAAACACAAATTTCACAAGAACAAATATCCAGACTCGGAACAATTACTTGTAGGCCATACAAATACTTGTTCCGTGCGGGATTCGAACCCGCAGCCTTCCGCGGAGTCACTCATTGCTAAGCCACTGCGAAACGGAGTCGTCATTCTATATACATAAAATTCATCTATATTCATATGTTTTTTAATCCATATTCATATACATGTTTCATCTATATACATAAAAAACATTAGGTGTCCGCCTGTACTTACTATCGAAATAACTGCCTTTTACCAGCAGATGATAGCATGACTTGTAAAATATTTGTATGTCTCTATGTGCGTCCGAGATAATCTATGTAACGGCTAAAATGATTGTGATGAAACTTCCCGAACAGATAAAGAGCACCGCCAGGAGTGATATAAATTTACACTAATTTTAGCTATTTAATTTTAACTGGGAAATTGCCGTTTTTTTTATGAATTAAGTTAAGGTAATTTTGTTTCTATATTTTATTCTATATTTAATGACATTAATCACCCATGCAATCGATGCACTTTTGCCTACGCAGTGGCAATTTATTGATACCCTTCTTGAAGAAATCAGCTAGACGGGAGGCAACAAATTCTTCAACGGCATTTTTGCCTCTAGGGTAAGTATTGAATTTTTTACCCGCCAACAAGTTATCTAAATTCTGGAAAAAGTAAAGCAGTGGGGACAAGCGATTGAACAAAGCTGGTTGGAGACGTGCGAGCTTCTCCATCATTGTGTTCAATTCTTCACTACACATCAGAAGTAATGCTCATCTCATTTGGTAAGAAGCTGTGATGAATCACACCAGTAACCATCACTTTTTTAATGGTAAGTTTTCATTTAGGGCATTGTTTAGGTGCTGAACTAGGATCCGACCAACTTGTTGAGTGGTTGCGATTGTCAAACAGAATCCATTTTCCTTCGCAGTTGCGAACCTAATCCGGTACAAAATTCCTTCGTTTGTGTGCCTATTGAACAGTACAAGGCACGTCTCTACGTGTACTTATCGCTGGCCATCATTGAGCTCATGGGGCACCCATTTGTAAAGCTTTTTTACCTTGCCAATTTGACGCAAATGGACCAATATTGTTTTGATGCTGATGTCGAAAGCTGCTGGCAATTCAACCGTAGATTGGATATCAATGTCGACCAAAGTTTTCGGATGTCCACGGGCTTCATTTTTCAAGTCGAAATTTCCAGAACGGAAGCTGGCAAACCAATGACAGGTAGTGCGTTCGTTTACAATATTCGCTCCGTAACCATCGTTGAAGTTAAGTGCCGCTTGTGCCGCGTTGCTGCCACGAAGGTACACATATTCCATTATTACTCGAATTTTTAACGTATCCGTGATGACGAAAGAGATATAAATGTGATGACAACATAACACTAATCAATAAACAAATGACTAAATGTGAAAAGAAATTCCATGTTTTAAAAATAAAATAAATTTGAAATCAGAATTCTTAGCAAAACAAAAATTATTTTGATTTGAAATGACCAGTACTGCAGAACGGCAATTTTATAGGTGACTGACCTATTGATAGAAAGTAAATTTTATAACAATTGAATTATAAACCCGTCAGTAACTAAAGGATATCCTCTAATATACTAAACAAGGACATTAACTCAAAATATAAATTTTATGTGCGCATAGTAAGCCCGTTCAAATCAAGCAACTATTCACAAGTATTGCGCATGTGAATTGGAATAGAATTTGAACATACCAGACGCTGTAATACACAGAATATATTACAGAAAAACAAACTTAACAATTGTTGATCTCAGATTTCAAATGAACAAGTAATTATTTGTACATTAGGTACTCATTATAGAATTGCGCCTTCTTGATGTTTTTTTTTCTTTGTTGCGACATTGGCTACAAGGCCTTTAGCCAAAAAAATAATAATTCTGTAAAACATTACACAAAACGTATGTAAATATGACAACATGTTTCTCCACAAAATGTTAATTAGTAACATTGCAATGTTTATGAGAAATTGCTTAAATCAACAATTAATATATGAAAGTGCTTTTACAAGCTATCAAAGAATCTAATTTGGAGTGGGGCATGTCTAATGAAGTAAACCCTCCGTTCCCCTCGTGCTCTACTCTAAACTACCCACAACTTTCAGCTCGAGTTACTAAATCGTTTTCAGTGCCTTGAAGACTGCAACGCAGTGGATGATATGAATGACAAGGTCGTGGAGACTGTCCATGTGGTCAGAGCTATGTTCAGCAAGTCCCGTCGGCGAAGGACATACGTGGTCACCTTAGCAATTGTTTAGTATAATCTTCAACTTTTTTTTAAGTAATTTTTAGTTTATTTAAAAATATACAAAGCACTAAAACTCGGTTGTTACTAGTCGAGTTCGTAGTTGTTATGTATGAAATGAAAAGTTATTTTTTCAAATAAAATAAACATTAGTACAATCAATGTGAACAAGAACTGAGTTAAGTACCTGAAATATATATATATATATATATATATATATATATATATATATATATATATATATATATATATATATATATATATATAGTTATAAAATGGTCAAAAGTATATGAGATCATCTTGAAAGAAACAAACAGTCAAATTATATTCAAACATATCTATCTTTCAAGTTGTACCAAACTGCAGACAGTATGCAAAATTTCAATGAAATCAGTTCAGTAGTTTAACACACTGAGCTTTTACATGACGGAACCAAAAAGCGGTTGGTATCTCTTGGGCATAGCTGTAGATCAACCATTTTAAATTTTTGCAATAATTTTGAATTTTGATGTAGAGGCCTGTTAAAGTCATTAATTGAAATTCTTTAAATAATTCTTTAAGTACAGTTGATCACGGATAAGCAATGTGACACGTTACTGTGATATATAAAGATGTGTTACTGACCAGCGCGAGTTCGGCCTTCTGGTAGAGGCGCGCCATGCGCACGAGGTCGCGCAGCTCGTTGCCGCCGCGGTGGAAGCACGTGCAGAACAGCGAGTGCATCAGCCGGCACATCAGCGGCCGCACCACGCGCACCGACACCGACACGTCTGCGGACACACATTTTTCATTATAGACGAATTATCTCCTTAGTTTAGTGCTCGTGACCGCGATTGCTGGTCATAATTTCGGAAGAAATTCTCAGTAACAGTTCGGAGTCAGGAAGTAGGCGGTGTCTCACACCCGTGCCTCGGAAAGCACGTAAAATCCTTAGCCCTGCGCCCGACCTCTCACCGGTCGTGTTGAAATACCGTCCCATCGGACTATAAGAGTGAGGGAATAGAGAACACACCTGTGCTTGTGTATATGCTCGTGCACTATAATCTTATCTTACGCAGATGGCTGGTCTATGTTTAGACTGGTCTGGACCAACGCGGTCCTGTGTCTGATCTCTCTCTATGAGCGTGTCGGATTACTGTTCTGTCTGACTAAGAGAGTGAAAGAACAGAGAGTGCTCGTCTGCTTGCGCATACACTTGCGTAATATTATCCTGTCTCTAAGACTAGTGTAAGTTAATACCTGCCACCGTGACCGGTATTGGTCTGGAAGTCATCATCATCGTCGTCATTTTTCATTACAGCGTAATAAAAATTTACCGTGTAGTAGCGGTGTAAGAATATCCAAAATATCCTTTACACTTTATTGCGTAGGTGTTTTAAGAGACGACAGACGCATACAAATCAGGAGATGGGCAGCATCTCTTTCCTAATAACGTCTAAGAATAAAAAACTTCGGTCACCAACACATTACTACGCGTGTCAACTATAGCGCATATTCTCACTTTGAGGCAATCTATGAAGGAGGCCTATGGTCAGCAGAGGACTTAATAAACTGTAACGGTAACGTAACAGTGATCGTTTTTAATAGATTAAGAGTGGCGAAAAAGCACATCACCCACCTGGTGATAAGTAGATGCTTTGGCCTTTTTATGGCTTATAAACATAGAGCGTAACATGTGAACAGAGTAGAAACCTGTGGCACTGATATTTTACAAAAAATAAATAAATTACAATCTATCGAAAATCAAATCATATCCACCCTTCAATCGTTGACCTTGTCACTTCGCAGGGTCACAGGCTAGGGTGACTATATGATTTGAATTTTGATAGATTTTAATTAATTTATTTATTTAATTCAAAATTTTTATTTTTATTTTATGTAAAATATCAGTGCCATAGGCTTCTTCTACTCCGTTCACATGTTACACCCTATTTTTTCCAGACAGTCAAAAAGGTCATCCAGTATATCTATATCTGTCATTAAGAATCAAAATGCGTACGTTATAGAGCCACGCTGCAGTTATGTTGTGGTTGTGCACAAATAGGTAGACCCGATCGTGGAGGGACTATGATCTCGCAGAATATTAATACTGATGTTTCGTATAGTGAATATATAGAACTTTTGACTATTTTTTATACGTGGTAGAGCCATGCTGCGCTTATATTAGTAGTGTAGTTGTAGCACGAATGGGTCGGCTCGACCAGGGAAGGACCACGCTCTCACAGAATACCAGCGTCAAATAGTAGCTTAATGCTGCTGTGTTTCGTACGGTGAGTGTAGAGATCCGGAGACCCTTTTTCTTGGAAACGAGGCATTCCATTTTAGTCCTCACGGGTGACAACACATCAGCATTTTGATTCGTATCGAGGATAGATGTAGATGTCTATGGGCCACAGCAACTACTTACCATCAGGTGGACTGTGTGCTCGTTTGTCACCCTATCCTATAAAAAAATATTATGAATATCATTATACAAGGACAACATTTTAAATGGATCCTGTGACCCTCAGACATCTACATTTATCCTCGATAAAGAATCAAAACGCAGATGCGTTGTCGCTTCTGAGGATGCCTCGTTTCCAGTAAAAAAGGATCTCCATACGAAACACAGCAGCATCAAGCCGCTATTTTACGCTGGTATTCTGTAAGAGCGTGGTCCTTTCCCGGTCGAGCTGACAAATTCGT